TGCGTGGAAACAGAAATTGTCCAAAACAAGCGTAATTCGAGCTGCCTTAGTGCTGTCTCCCTTATTCCTGTTCTCTCTCGTCCTTTCGTCGTCCGGCTTGACCAAACGTCCAGTGCTTCTTCGCCATAAGCTTGTTCAACGTCCAAAATCAAATTGGAGGTTCTTATCTAGGGTCATTCCAGCGTGTCTTTTGCCGTCGCATTTTGCCAGGTGGAGTATTCCTTGGAGACTTTCTTGGTCTTTCTTACCAACACTTTTTTTCGGTTGATAGACTGCGTGACAATGCAGTAAGGATGCTTCTTGTACGCCCACCCCTATGACAGATGAACACGCCCTTTCACCGCATCTTTGGGTCAGCCCTACATTATATCAGGTGATAGCCCCAAGAAGAAGAAGAGCCATGCAACATGCACTTTCACCTAGAACTGCTATCCCTAACCATCTCGCAAGCTCTTAACTGCGTTCAATTCCTTCATGAAGAAAATGCAATGAATGTAGTGCTTGAACAAGATGTTCTGTTACCATTGCGGCTGGACGAGGCGGAGATAGTGTAGTGGCAAGTAGCCGCTCCGGGTATCGAAGTCCGGGATCAGCTCCCGCTTAGACTAACCAACTTTCTAGCTTGCGAGGCGAGTGAGTGGTATCAAATTCGGCCGGAAGGTTTAAACGGTGACATGTAAATCGGCTAATCCTGCGAGTCACTGTGTTGGTCCTTTCGCATGCAATGAGCCACTGTTTTTTAGGGAAGTGATACGCGTTCTTAACCCAAAAGAAGCTCATCAATTCATTTTTTTATCATTAACACGCCAACTGAACACATAGACCTAAAAAATATGCAGTCAAAAAACGCCTACCTGGATCTGGGCAGCAAATGCTGATTGAATCCCGTTTACTGACGTGACAAACATGGTTTAGAGGACAGAATGTATCAATACCGCATTTGGTCATGACTCCGCCCACTACGTGGGGTTTCCCATGGGGACAATAACCGCGATAACCTAAATGTGAATTATTAAAAGCAACGAAAAAAAAACATTACGCTCAATGCACTGGAAGGTAGTTATAACGCATATGAACAGAAGTAGCGGTGAAATCCAGGAATCACTTTTCAGTGAAGGGTGTAAAGAAGAATTCAGAGGCACATTTGGCACTAATTGTTTGGGCGATATCGCTTTCATTGCTACAAGCTCCTCACTGGTGGCGAGCTGGCAGAGGAGTGGCAGTCGTTAGGCGCAGTTGACACGGCATTCGTCCGAATCACAAAACTATGACGCTTTTGTAACTGACAGCTTATAGAAAGCCATGAGTGATGGCATCGGTTCGTGCTCTTCAACCAGGAAATGCACTAATTCAAACTTTTAGACGAGATGCCTGTTGGAAGAGGGTTTGCACAAAATGTTGTGAAAAGTCGATGGAAAAGTTCTCGCCCAGCGGCATACACCAGTGGCAAAAACAGCGCGTCACAGAGAGTAAAGGTTCAGACGACTCCGCCCGAACGATCGGCATGGAATGAGTCTTACAGATTTTTTGAGCTAGGTGTATACTGTAAATGATCGCATTCCTGTCCTACCTGGGCAGGTTATCTGACATTGTGCTTTCGTGGCAAAGTTATTCTCATTGCCACCGATCCCGGTGTAGTTGAAAGGCAAGCAGCTGTCTTCTAGAGGATCGTAATAGAATCGTGGTAGAATGGTGTCGCCTACACCTAACATTAGCTGCTGATCACATGGCGACCCTGAATATCAACGACGAACTGTAAGGGTTTCATGGAGATTGCAGAATGTAACAAAAATAGTTACAATACATTTAATACGGACTTTAAATATAACACTCAGCATATTCGCTTCCATGATAGCTTTTTCCGGTTACAAATCAACCTTCTGAAGGAGTAATGAAAAATGCGGCAATGGTCTACATCAAGTACTTCGAGTTACGGTTCAGAATATAGTCAAATATTTTTAAGATCTTAAGATGGAATAGGGGCAGAAAAGGGTGAGGACGACAAAAACACTTACGATTTGGAAAATCGGAACTGATATGTAAAGTCTGGACAAACAATTCGGAAGATCCGAGATGATCGCTGCATCAGACGGGAAGGATTACTTGATGAATTCGAGGTAAACAGCAAAGAAGAACTTCAAGCTACTCACGCGATTAAGTGATACTAAAACGCCTCCGCGCATTTAGCAGCCAGGCCTTCAGCTTGCGGAGAGTGGTTGTTTCATTTCTCCACAAGAATGTACGAGGTAAAAGCGCCAGAAACGCCTGAGATGGAACCATATTACTGCCTATATGACCTACACTGCAACGACTGATACTCATCTGTTAATAGTTTCATTGTTGATTACGCGCATGTGCCCGCAGCGACGTAGGACGAATACTACGTAGAATACTTTGGATACTTGTCGCGGGACTGCTAGCGTGGTGACTTTTGCAAGCTCGTTCTGCTTCCGCCTCTACTCCTACAAAGTGAGCCGCCCAAAACATTTCACACTCATTATTAAAGATTGCGTTTTGGCGGGCCGCTTGAATTCACAGCAGCCTGCAGAGGAAGAGTACAGTCCTCATCATTGCGGACCGGTGGGGCGTGTCAGTGCGGCTGCGTTTGGCGCGGTGCCAAAGTCGTTCTGCACCAGTTGTTGAAGCGGGCAAGTGAGGTTATATTGTCGTAATTATACCCTCTGGTAATTAATCGTTTTCTAGACTTTTGCGGCAGTACCGCTTCAACAGAAAGGCTGAATGGCTTCAACAGTGTGCCACACTCATACTGGCTGACACGTCCACCGTCCGCAATGGCTAATGTGAGGGTTCTGTAAGTGCAACAGTTTCTAGGCGCATTGTTTACCAGTAATCCGAATTCCGCGCATCGGATCAGTTTTGCCCCCACAAATCCTATCCGCAGCCTCAACGTGGCGTGGGGGTGAACGGTTTGGACTGTTCCAACACCGTACCAATGCGGAGGGTGCCACGTCAGAGCCTGGCGAGCTACGCATGGTCAAATTTCTTCAAGCGAACAGTAATATTATGGGACTATTCCCTGAACGCTGAGGGAACCACCGCAGGCGAACGTCGACGTGGACCGCTCGGGCGAGGCTGCATGAATCTTTAGGCCAAACGAGATTTAAGTGCCAGGACTAGATGACGATCCTATTTAAAGCAGCCGGAGCTTGCAATCGGAAGCTCAACATCGAAGCTCTGTATGTTGTAACAGGAAAATCAATTTCGAGCGTCAATCGGATTGACCGAGACGAGGAGCATGGCCGCTACAACGCCGTATATAGACTGAAGAGAACTGTTCTACGAAGATCGACAGCAGAGGCGTTGGCGGTGTGGTGTCTCGTCAGCACGCACTTGGGCCAATCGATGATCTCTACGAAAAATCTTTGCACGACCCGAATCGGACGGATTGCGATTGAGATGTATTCAACTCCGCTTTGACAATCTTTCGTCGCCTACGCCTACAACGATCAGCTTACGACGAGGATGAGCTCGAAGCGTTCTATATGGAATTGGAGAAGTTCTACAAGGAAGATCATACCTTCTTCAAGGTCATCGTCGGTGATTTCAACGCTAAGATCGGACCAAGAAGACCGGTGCAGCCCTACTCTCTGCGCTGAGACATCGGAGTCTATTGGGGACATTCCTAACGACGACGCGCACAGTCATCTTCAATCGCCGGTTTTGCTGACCAATGTCGCCTGGTTTTCCATATTCTAGGCACAGGATCCTGACCACCCGCTTCTTGCGAGCGAATTCCGCTTTTCGATTGGAGGAGATGAGCCGCGGCCAAGAAGTAAAGCCTCAACGACGAGTCATCACATGGATCACTTCACTTTCTTGCTGGCTCTGGAGGATTCGGTCATCGCAACATCGACGAGGAATACGAACGGCTTGTTGCACATCTTCACGACTGCGCCAAGAAGTCAGAGGGTTCCAAGATTACCAAGAAGCGTCTATCTCTGGAAACTCTCGAGCTGATTCGCCAACGTGGAGCCGCACGAGCCGCAGGCAATTACCAGCTGACGTCTGAGTTGCAAGGTATCAGAGAACGCGATAAAGGAGACCATCAAGGAGAGAAGAGCAGCTGTACTGGTGGAAGCCGCAGAGGCGGGGAAGAGCATCCGCAAAACCCCCGCGACTTCGCCAACTGTAAGACCAAGATGACCGCCCTCCGACGTCCGGATGGAACAATCACCGCATCCAGAAGGGCAATGGAGAAGGTCATCCACGACTTCTACTCGGATCTCTTTGACAGCCACGTCCACCTGCAACCATACCGCTTGGAGCAGATGGATATGTCGTTCCTGCAGTTCTCCTTCCAAGTCGATCGCCATCGTTCGTCAGGTAAAGATGCGGACGGCACCCGGTCATTCGACAGATGCAGACGCCGGAACTCTTGAGAATCTTCGCGCCAGTTCTGGAAAAACTCTGCCTCGACTCTTCACGCGCTATACCTGTCGGAATGCAAGATACCCACCACGTGAAAAAAACTAGCAAGACTGTGTTGCTGTACAAGAAAGGAGACCTGTACGGTATTGGCAAATGCCAATCTTGCCTGCGTCTGTAGTTACAAACTCTTCAACGTAGTCATATTTCACACGAGTCATACCTGAAGGACTGCAGACACTAGACGAGGGCAGCCATGCGAGCAAGCAGGGTTTCGAAGAGGATTCAGCACGATTGATCACATCCACACGGTAACGAAGCTCACTGAAGTATCGCGAGAGTACAAGATGCCGTTATGTCTCACGTTCATCGACTTGAAGAAAGCCTTCGACTCCGTTGAGACAGAAGCGGTTATCGAAGCCCTGGGCAACCAGGGTATTCCTACTCAGTACATCAGGATTCTTCGTGAGCTCTATAGCAACTTCACGACCAGGATATCACCATCCTACAAAGAGATCATCGTCGACGTGAAGAGAGGGTCCGACAGGGCGAACCATTCGTCTAAGCTATTCAGCGCCTCTCTCGAGAACGTCATGCGTCAACTGGAATGGGAAGACATGGGAGTGAAGATCGACGGTCGGCAACTACACCATCTCCGCTTTGCTGACGACATCGTTTTGATAACACCAAACATCGAGCAAGCGGAACGAATGCTGGCTGAATTCGACTGCGCGTGTGGAAAAATCGGTCTACGGCTGAATCTAACGAAGATGTTTCATCGCGAAACGGATTGGTTTTCTGAAGCCCATTCACGCTCAACCGGAACGACCATCATGAAGCTCTGCTATGTGTAGCCAGGTCGTGAATCATATGATGAATGACTTAGGCAAGCTGAGCGGATGAAGGCGAGCGCTTTGGGGGAGCCTTCAAGAACCATGCGAGGGAGTAAGCGGAGCGACGAAAGAACACTGTCACGATCTTCGTTCCGCGGTCCTCCTCCTTGAGTACGCCTCAAGACTTGGACTCTACGAAGCAGGATGAGCATGCGGTCGGCGTTATTCAACGCGCCATCGAAAGGGCGATGCTCGGAGTTTCCCGCTACACGCAAGTGAGAGAGGGAATCCGGAGCTCCGCACTCCGCGATCGAAGATCAGAGACGCCGCCGCCGCCACATGCTGCCAAGAAGTTTCGATGCAGGTGGGCCGAAGCACGTATGGCGTTTCGAGGACGACCGCGGGACAGAGCAGTCACCGACTGGATTCCACGGGATGTCAAGCGAACGCCTGGACGACCGCCTATGCGATGGTCAGACTTCTTCGTGAAAGCTCTGAACGAATGGTATGAAGTTCATCGTGTCCCTCGAGCAGAGAGTTCATTGGGCAACTCTTGCACGTTGCAGGGACGAATGGAGACGTTAGGTTGATTTTGCTGCTAATTTTTGTTCCAGTACATTTTTTATTCTGTTCAGTGGCGTTGACCGCTGAATGATGCGAAGAAACAAATTGTGGGGGTTGCCCAAGGGGTTCACAGTGTCTATTTGC